TCTATGAATAAAACCGTTTGAAAATACATTAACAAAACTGAATTTACACATAGTGAAATTACTAAAATGGATTTGGAGCATGCAGAACTTGTTAACTAACTTTCAGACGCTGAATGGACAATATCGACATTAGAAGAGAGGCATCGTGAGATTAAAAAGGATGCGTCCAAATCAAAACCCTGTACCAAAAACCAATCTGCTAGGCCTGTTGAATGCTGTGGTGGCAGTTAAGATTGGCTGGACTACAAAACTCACTTTTGTAGTTGTTAGCAAGGCCAATACTTGGACCTAACCCCCCCCCCTATCACACCAAACTAGTTCTTACCCGTTCTTGCCAGTCCTACGAAAAAGTCGTAAAACGGGCTCAATCTGGCTGTGGTCGGGAAATATGTCTAAAATAGTTAGCTACTTCGTTCATAAACAGTCTTCAAAACGACCATCTCATTCGCAGTTTGTTCAGGTCGCACCAGGTCGGTGTGCAACGTCGTATAACGCGTCCCTTGGTCTAGAAGGTCATCATGACCTGATTACAGAACGGTATGGTCGCCATCGAGTTTTGAATCGATTCAAAATTCTAAAATCACCTTCCCGTCTGAGAACGTTCATGAAGTTCGTAAATATACCTTAGAAAGTTGCAGCTACGTTCATTTCGTTCGCACACAGTTTAAAACCAGTTTTGAAGAACGCAGTGGCAACTTTTTTGGTGTGATAGCTATATTTTTGCTAACTCGTTCATAAGCAGTCTTAAATACGTTCTTAATCAGTTTAAACCCGTTTGCAATTATTTCTACCTCGTTCTCAATACTTCTTCAGACAGTTCAACTCGTTGTTAAAACTCCCTAGTAGGATTGAAGTATTATGGCTCCGTTCGTAGTACGTCCAGCTCGTCGTTAGAACGTTGGCACTCGTTCTAATTGTAGAACGTATCGACCAAGAGAACATTTTGAGCATTGTCTAAGTTCTAGAGGACCTACCCGTTCGAGTACGTTCGATGAAGTTTGTAAATAGATCCCAAACGGTTCTTAGTAGGTCCAGTCCGTTCGTACACAGTTGAAGCCCGTTTTCGAGAACGTAGTGAGAACTAGTTTGGTGTGATAGTAGGGTAACTTTCTTAATTTACTAGAGGCCAGAAGGAAGAATCCCAAGGAAACATTATCACAATTGGGGCAGGATATCAAAAGGCTAGAAAACAGGGCCTAAAAGTGGCCATATGAGCTACGTATGCATCTTGCTTTAAATCAATTTTATAATGCTCTTGAGGACACAGATATGAGGAAATAGATCAAGAATTGGAAGCCCCGTGATATAGATGAAGCAGTAGGCATTAGATTGGAATACGAGACAGATTATAGAACCGATTGAAAGGCCTGGAAAGCATGCAGCCGCAAGAGGATCCTGTTATTAATACACAGATTGGCCAAATAGTACAAGAATTCAAAGAACTTGAAAACACATTATGTCAGGCATTGGAGCATCTTGCCTCATATACCGATGAAAAACATCTCCCAAGATCATATCCCTATCCAACACAGGAGAATTTACCAACCTTTGTATATGATTACCCCAAACCTTATAATCACCGTATAAAATGTTTCAACTGTACCCGGTACCAGGGGGCTCATCACGAAGATGTTTGAATCAGAATTGGAGGTCGGGAAACGAGCAGTAGCTGAGCCTGAGGGTCAGGGGTCAGCTAATATAGAGAATGATGGACCCGAAAATAAATCAAAACTTCATGTAGGATATTGTTTTGATAATCAGATTACAGAACCCTCAACTAACACTGAAGTTATAATGCATGGAGTACATAGTATATATGGGCATACCCCTATATTGATAACTGATTGCGTAGTAGGAAGTGTTCACATGGACTTATCAAAACGTAAGTCTGTATTGGCAAATGTTTCAGCCATCAAAACGATCAAACCAAGAGGGGAGCAGTGTAACAGAAATGCACTATTTCTGTTTTATATTTATATTTTAAGGATGTCAAAAATATTTTGACTGGGTCATATTTAAATGTTCAGTATTTCAGTGAAGTCAAATACAAGTGTTGGTTTCATAAATTCTTTGAAATTCCCAGTTCATAAATCATTCCATTCAGATCTGAATTTAATGCTCTGGCCATTATAGCCCTTTGTCATAAAACTTTGAATGTTTGTCGTACAGAGTTGTGAATTAAGTTTGCACGCTCGATATCATGTTGTTCAGTTTTACTCTTTCACTTGAATTTATTAATTACGACAAATCAAACTAGGCTGACATTTCATATTTCGTTCACTATCAACTTCATAAGTTTGGATGACACTCAATATTCAATTATAAAGCCTTTGTTTATTGGAAAACAAATATACTGCTATTGTTCCAAGGTGCACATGTACATCTGTGAGAATTCTCTCCTTGGTGAAATCATCCCACCAACAGACAAAGAATATTTTATGATGGGTGTAGTTTAGTGCAACTAAATATGTATTTTTAAATGCTTGAATATGCATTGTTTATGAATCATGTAAATGTAATTAGATGTTGTAACTAACTCTGATCTGATGTGTATCGACAGTTCCTGGAGAAACATTCATTTCCGACCACAGCAGTAGATCATATTCACCCCCCTCACTGCAGCCATTAAAGTGATCACTTACACATTCCTTTGTTTGCCAATGCAGATACGTGGTTACAGGAGAGGCAAGGGTAGTGTTCCATATAATTAAACTGTCCCCAAAAATCTCTATCAAATCAGATCAACCTGTTCAAATTGAGATCCACCCTTATTCTAAGAACTCCAAGAACTGTATGTTTACTGATGTATAACTTTTAAATAATAGAGAAGATTTTTAGAAATATCATACAAGCTTCTTTAGCATTGTTATAATCATGAAGATGTAATTTCGAATAAGGATAGCTTTTAGCTTTAAAAAAGTCATACAACTTTTGAAAATGTTATACAAACTTTGGTAGATACTATCCAACATTGATATATGGGACAATTTACGATAATTGATATTTTAAAAGTCTGTCGTTGTACTAGATACTGCGAAATATATGTTGATTTCATGGACATGCAATATGTTATTTTTTGTTGACCAGACTTTAAGTAATTATTACCACAAGGTACCTGTTTGGAATATTGATTATCTTTATAAAATATATCACTTTAATGATGGATTTTTAGGCAATTAAGAAATATTTTATTTTTTTTCAGCAAATATAAACTCGGATTTCTTAACCTAAAATGTATCGATTGCGTTGATATTTTTGAGCATGTTAATAGAAAGTATGTGCTACCAACTCTTGAAAACGAGATGTTTGATATGTCTTAGTCACATAATTAAGTATATTTTACTATATGTATACGATTTGTCAAATATTTGTATCCTCCAATACATCGGCCATATTAATATACACTATTGATGCATTATTTGGTGAAAGCTGGGCAAGAAGGTGTATTTTGACAACATACCTTCGATTGCAGACAATGTAGATATATGGTTGAGTGTAGGTTTTTCTGTCGTAAATTCAAGTTGTCTAGATTAGGCTGTCCAATAATTTGTACCTTCAAAACATCAAAATCATCTTTGGAAAAAATAAATTTTTAGATTATTAGTTTGGGAAATGAAAGTACTAAATAAAAGTATTTAGATCATCATTATTTAATTTTTGAATTGTCTTTGTAAAATTTTATTAAGCATGCGTTGGAGGATACAAAATGACTTTAAAATTATGTGATATATAAACGTACAATCAAAAGCTAGTTGTATTCCTATTTTTATGTTTATTTTTCTAATGAGAGCAAAGAATGTGTATAATTTTGTGGGAAAAGCGATGCATGTAACCTTTACATTACGCATCGGTTTCTTTACGAAAACTAAGACTTTACTCCATCATCTAGCTAAGACACATTTTATTTTTCTCATACAGTAGGTTTTTATCTTATCAAGCAAAGGGTTAATTGATAAAAATAGAAAATGAAATTTCATCGCTTCACAAAAAAGTTTGTAGAAACGAACGTTTTGATAATATAATATAAAACAAAAACGCCGTTTTTTACCGTTTTTACGCACATTTGATCAAGCCTGACACAGAATTGACAACTTATTGCGTTTGATTGACGCACTTTGATCCCCAGATAGACTAATATAGTAATAGTATTTACAATTAATCTTAAAAGAATACAATGCAGAAAAATATATCAGTGTGAAGTCTTAAATGCTACAAAAATCTAGTATAAATCAATACAGTATAGTATTAGATGCAATATCCATGGATGAGTAGTTTTTATATGCAGATTTGAATATATTCAGTGGAGTGGATCATTTTTAATATTACCTAGTAGAGCATTCGAAAAATTTGGACATTAGCATCAAAAATATTTAATATTTAGTCTTTGAATAGGAGAGAAGTGTGAAAAAGTCTCTCATGGCTAAGACAGAAATCTCAATTGCAGAAAATTATATTTTTGAACATTTTTGGTGATTTCACCGAGAGCATGCCTGGACGGCAAATGTGATGTCTCCAGATCTGAAAATCGTTGATGCTATCCAAGTACAACAATCTTTGATCCATTGAACACTCTACACAAAAAATCACTAGATTCTTTAATTATTGAGAAAGTTTTTCCAAGATTAATGGGTGGCATTTTTGGGTCACCCCGTAGCAGACCCTTGCAAATGTCCTCTTGAATGGACCTCCTTTGTCCCGAGCAATCAACATACATATTTTAACCAAATCAGGCCAGTGGTATTTGAGCTGTTAGGGTCAAAGGAGCTAAATATGACAGCACAGAGTCCGATTTGTAGAAAATAGATCTATATCTGCAGACAAAAATGTATTGTGATAATTTAAATACTAATGAAAAGTGAGCTATCTTCTGTTGTACCGAACAGAATAATTTTTTACTGAGTCCAGTTTTACACCTCAAGGACCGCAGTTCCGTGATGTTGTTGCACATTTAATCCAAATCAAGACATTCCATTGTCCAAAAATAAGCTGATATCAAAAACATGCAGCATACTATGGAATCAAAGGAATGTGTTCTCCGGGTATCTCATCTTTGGACTTACAACAGAACTTTGTTGTAAGTTGATATAAGGCCAGAAGCAGTGCGCATGAAGCTCCCGCAAGACCCATAATAAATGATGTCCATGGGAAACCTACTTTATCTAGTAAAAGTCCGCCTCCAATGGGACCCGCAAATCCTCTGAAAATAATTATAAATTTTAGAAGAAAAAATTATTCGACAGTAAGTGGATACACTGATTTATTCCTGACCAGTTATTGAGCAAACATTTTACCTGGAGCAACAATTTGCGGTTGGGTTATTCAAGCTATGGACTTTTGGGATAAACTCTGTTACTTCTTGCTCAACCGAAATAATCAGAGGTTTACATACAAAAGACAATTAGTCTCGGTTTGGAGAACAATCTACTGGGCTAAAAATTATTTTCATGAAAAATATAGAAATAACACCCAAATTAAATTATGAATATTCAAAAGAGGATATTATACAATATGTAAAAATATCAAAATTGTCCGAAGCAGTCCGTGCAGTAGACTGATGAACTTCGTTCTGTAAATCGAAACTTGTCTGTTAAAGATGATTCTCAAAAATTAGTATGTTTTCTTTTGAGACATTGCTACGTTCTATTTAACCTATGACACCATGCGCATCTAACAAAAAGAAAATAATACACCATACTTGGCTCACATGGTAGCATATTTTCAAAGTTGTAGACGTTTTCAATTTTTTCAAGAGCGCATTATTAGATTTCTAAACTTATGGCAAACTTAAGTAGCAACCATTTAAAATTTGGTTGATATTTTGCAATCTAATTACTCTAATGCGAGAAGGTAGTTACCACTTTCGCCACCAGGTGATTGATTCACTGTATGTATGTAGTGGTTCACTTTCATGTTACCCTTATGTATCTGATAGTAATACAAATTACAATGTGTCCAGTAAAATAATTACCTGCCCAGTACAAGAAGCTAGATATTTCACTTTCTGTGATTTTACAAAATGGGGTCTACATGAGGACCTCTGGCCCTTTCCACTAATCTTCTTTTTTTAAACATCATATTTCCTTGTGAGCAGGCTAATGCTCATGATTGTCAAGTGATACACGTGCAGTGCTTTGTTTATATCAATATTTCAATAATTTAGATGCGAGTACAGCTGTAGGAGTGTAGGTAGTTACCAGTTTCACCACCAGGTGGCTCATTCGGGTCAGATAGCATGACAGGTATAGTAGAAAGATAAGATTCTTTGTGATACATGTTCTACAATTAATTTATAAATGAAAAGTTCTCCATAAAGTTTACGTTGACCAATAGAGAAGCGGCTTTTTTATGGTAGCTTTTTAATGACGCAATTAGCCGCGTAATTAAAAGCCAATGGGAATACAGCCCATTCAAATGACGTTTTCAACTTGGTACCATCTATGTACATGTAGGTAGAATGTCTAGTCAAACAAAACTAACTTACATAGGATTAAATTTTTATCACTACATTTTGAAATTGGAAATCTGATCTGTCTTACCCAATAGAAAAAGCTGACGTGTAAAGTCCTGAAGTTATTCCATAAGTTTTAATATTGTCAGGGTATCCACTTTCACTGAAAAAGAAAAAAGAAAAAAATAATGTTATAACTAATTAAAGCCCGACTATATTCTATACATGATGCATAAAAAGATCAAAGGATATAGTGAATTTCTCTATAGTAATTTTCCATTGTGATTGGGCTGGTTCCAAGCCACCATGGTTATTTTTAGGATTCCTCTCAGATTCAAAGCAAATGTATCATATTTTTCTTTGAAAAACCAAATAGCGAATATAAAGTCCGGATATAAGTAATATAATACAAATATATCCTTTTGAACAAAATGAATTTTGAATTTTCTAAGATATGTTGTTGAAACAGGTAGGTGGGTGGAGGGACGGCCGACAGACAGATAAAGAAGAACATCTCACTTACAATGCTGCAACCAAAAGTTCCTGAAGTTGCGGGACTAGAAGATTAGAAATACCTAAGCCTAGCACTGCATAGCCTACAACATTCAACCAGAGTGATTCCCTAAAATAATACAAGCAATAAATAAAACAAGGTTTTCCAGGTATCAATTTCCGGCTGTCGACTGACGATTTGGTTGTTATTTCATGGCCAACCCATCTAAATATGAATAGTACCAGTAGATTCATATTCATGTTTAAATGAGTTGTCCATAACCCTTGAATCAAGCCACTGAAATACTGACTCTAAGCTCTAAATGACCAATCAATAGGAATAATCTTTATGTAGCGATCCGATTTGCTCTAAATATGTCACTTACATTGGTAGAGGCAGAAATGGCACTGGCCCTATTAATGAAAATGATACTAAAACCAGCATTCCTCCTAAAGCCATCGAACTTTTACACCAGCCCTATAGAAAATATCAAAGAATGAAAATGTCAATTTTTTAGTCAGCATACATTTAAAGAACTTTTTAAACTAATTTCACATAAAAAAGGTATTCATATTGATAAAAAAGGGTCCCAAACTTCCCTACCCTAGCTATTCATCTTTAAATGAGTTACCCATAAAATACAGTGTGTCCATGAGAAAAGTATACCCAACAAAAGTGGTTTACTTGAATCCTGAGTTATAATTCTGCAATTCATTGGAGGAGTCAAAGTCTAGTTTGTTTTTAATCAAAGGATACCTAGATCATTATGTAACTGACTGATTACGACAATGATGAAAGGAGGTAAAACTAGTACGATGCAAAGTTATTTTCCTGTGTGCCAATCGATGTGCTAGTATTCTTTTCCTGTTAGATAATCTTTAAGGTCAAGGTCTCATAATGGACTAGATTAGGGGCTGAGTAACTCTCTCCTATGTAATTTTGATATAAAGCTTAACTAACAAAGTTAGTTTCACAGATTATTGAGAGATTGTTGAATGACTGTAAGCCAACTTCAGGGCCCGGTGTTACACATGTACCTTTTTGTCCATGATGTAGCCAATGAAGGGGGCTGTTAAGGCATACACCGCTGGTGCCACAAGGAACACAAGGCCAACCAAGAGTGGACTTAAATGGAACTGGAATAAATAGTCATAAAATCTGGTCATCACATTACAGTTGAGTCATTGGCAGTGTCTGATTAATGCTTGCCAAACAAGGTGACACAAAAATGCCACCCACATGTGCCTAATACTGCCTAATTTCTTTTTCTGCAGGACGTCTGACTTGTCCTCTAGCACATGAAAACTAAGCTCCATAGAGCAACTCCAAAAGAAGTTTAAGATGACCAGCCAATTAATTGCACTTTCATGAGCGTTACAAGATGTGCTCTACTTACAGGGAAAATGTCAATTTAATAGAATACAAGATGATATAGTTGTCATCAGAACTTATTTACTAAGTTATGTAACAAAAGGTGGATGGCATTTGATTTAGAATCCAAAATCCAGGTGTGCCTGCAAAATAAAGGACATTTAGAGAACATCTTTTAACGCACATAAAGGTGCATCTTGTTGAACTATTCATCTAAAAGCTGTTGTGAAGGTGCTTCATAGAGCCTAAGTTCAATGTGCTAAAGAACAAGTCAGATATGCAGAAAACAAGTGAGTGAGTGGCATTTTTGTGTCGCCCTCTACATCCATGTATGAGATGTGATTATGAATTAGAATCTAATTCTATCAATTTTTGCAAAGGACCGCGAGTTGTATGCAGAATGAGTTTATTCATGCATTTCGCTAAAATGATTTTCATCCAAAAAGTGTTATTGACTATAAGATTACACCATATAATCCCATGCCAAATTATTGCTTATGTTCAAAGATAATCTATGGATTAACACCCAGTTATTCACTTTTCAAATTTCAGAGGGCCTTGACTTATTGATAATCAATGTTTTTCAATAAGGTAAATGCTATAAGATTAAGAGACAATGATGCAGAATAATGCAGGACGCATTTATATTACAAAGGGTCAATCGATTGCTTGATATAAAAACCAAAGACCTATAATCATAAGGGGATAAATCCCAATCTGCTCTGTACTTACTGGTTTTAAATGCAAAGAATATGCAACATCTAAGAAACCAAGAGTGAGTGCTCCCACAAATATAATGTAATACACTATGAATGTGATAGGCATCTTGAACAATGACAACATGGACCCCTGCATATTGGCTATATCTGAAAATGAGAGGATTTCAACTTGTTACTGGCAATTAATTAGTCGTACATTGCACTTTTAAGTGATGTCCGTTCTGTGGTATTCAAGCAGTATTGTAAAAGTAGGTCTTTAGATGCGTTTAATTAAGTGAGATACCGTGCTATTCCAGAAAACCTAGATCTGATAATTGGCTGAAGTTTTAGGTGAAAAATCATACGAATAAAGAAAATATTTTTAAGGCTTTGCAATTGCCTTACGCCAGGCTAAAGTTGGATTTTCGATTATGTAATTTCGAACTGTAGAAAACTGCCACTTCTTGAAATGTTGCGTAACTAAGCTGGGTGGTGTCACACTAACCACGAGGCCATGAGTTCTAGACGCGTGTTCTCCCCTCGTTTATTTATCTTATGAAAATAACTATTTTCAAATTACCAGTTTTTAGTACATTCTTTACATAGCAAGGTTTTCTGAAAATCTTTAAGGCCAAATAATGACTCTAACCTAGTTTTCTAGCCACAGACACGAATATACCTACATTATGTAATAATTACAAGCAGTCTAATTTATTTCAAATGACTCACTTTGGGGTGGTGGGAGCAGCCAGATGCACAGTATTGCCATACACATGACTACACCTCCTAAGACTAAGAAGGGGAGCTTAAATCCACCAGCCTATAAAATTAAACAAAACCATTCAATGCAGCTTCCTTTGTTCACAGTTGACTTACAATTGTTATGCCATAAAATAAAAGTCCCTGGGATATAAATGATATGAGATGAAGATAAGATATAGAGCTATGAAACAGTTCACGGGTGTTGTGCATACATGTGCAACCCAGCTTATATCCCTAGAACATGTCATCCATTTTCATTTAAAGTACCATGGAAGTTACAGGTGTATATGTTAGGCAAATGCATTGTCTTCAGGAAAAGTACTCAGCGATATTAAATGATTTGAACTTTAAGACAGATAAGGTACATACACCCCGCATCATGGTTATTCTGATTTCAAACCTCTTTTTCAATGTTTAATGCATCATTACGTTGCACTTTGAGACACTGTGCTCAGGGTAATAAGGAAAACCAATGCAATCAAAATTTTCAGCTTAATTTTGGTCACCTTTAAAACCGCTGAATAAATGGATTTTCTTTTTAAGAGGTTTCAAAATTCAACACAACAGACCTGATATAATGCACCACCGACAACGGGGCCTATCATCTGCCCCACTCCATAACATGTCTCAAGTATACCCTAGAATATTAAAGTTCATGATGTTATATTCATATTTATGATGCCAAATCATTGTGTCATCCAGTTAGCAGTAAGCAAACAAAAATAAAACAATAATTATAAATAGAATATAACCCCGGTCCCTGGTACAACACATTTTAAGTGAATGACAAAGCCCAAAGCCAGAAGGGCGAATTGAACAGATTGAACATTGTACTTACAAACATGGTAGATACCCTGTCAGGGAATGTAAATGACATGATAGCAAATACTGCTGTAGTGCATGCACTGGTTCCGAGAGCTTCTAGAGTGCGTACTGCTACACACAAAACAACATAAACCAGTCCACCAGGAGACTCATCCAGAAATCTGCAGCAGAAAAACAAATAATGAATACTACAACTTTGATTTGATGTGAAATTAAAAATATGATGACGTTCTAAAATAAAATGGTACACCGTGTAGAATGGCTATGGAAGAAATAAAAGCAAGAGTTCTGTGCTCATAATTACAGCATACAAAGTACGTTTTTTGATAGAACACTAGCTTAGGGGGAGCACCGTGTACCTACCCAAATATCACACTGCATCCCCCAGCTACAAACAGTCCTGCGACTAACATAAACTTGGCTCCTATCCTAGTTAGCTACATAAACCAAAGCAAAAACGAGCTTACATTTCAACTTATTGGAGCGTGAAGATCCAATGAACTATTTATTGACCACTGATTGAAGATTTAGATGACCCGTAATGGATCATTCATTTCATATATCAGAAACACATTGGCATGTATAATGTTACAGCTTGCCTTTAATCGATAAATTGACATTTTCATTGAAATTTTTGATTCTCAGGTTCTTCCATGCAGATAATAGAGAGTTTTAGCTTGTATACACTTTTAAATGAACTTTACTCACAATTGCTCCAAAGAACGGTGAAGTTAGAAACACAACAATTGCATATATTCCAAAGATGAAGCCTGTCATTGTTTCTGAAGCTCCTTTCTTGTTGGCCTGTAAAAACACATATGGCCTTAAAGTGGCCGACAACGTATAAATACTGCGCATGCACCCATGCATGGCTAAACTATAAATGTGATGTGATTAGTCCCATGTGATAAGTCCCATTTTAGAAGAAAAGCTATAGAATCTTACTTCCTGTGGAAAGAACGGTCCGAGCATGGAGTAGTAGGCTCCTAGGAATAAATAACAAACATAAAGTGATACGAGGGTGAACTTCTGTTCAGTTGTCATACGCTGCGATTCAGCAGAACTATTATCAACATCTTTCTGGAATGCACCTGGTTCCATATTGGGAGTAAAAGGAGTCGCTGAATCATCTGTCTCGGCTTTGTTGGTTATATTTTTATTAGTTGACAAATTTTCATATTTATCATCCATTGGAGAATCACTAGCTTGTTCCATATTGAAATCAATTAAACTAAGTTATGATGCCCCTTGTACAGTTGTAAGTAAAATACTTTTTGATTTCTCACATCTATAATCTGTACTCCAAAAGCAAGTTCCTGAAAAAATAATTTGACAATGATTTGGGTATAAGACATTAACTCAAAGAAATTGTTATTGGTGGGTTTAAAGAGACTCTATTGAGACTTCTCTGTGGCATTTTTTCTTTATTCCTTTTTGTTTTGAATTTTTAACACCATAACATTAACTAACTACTCAATATGCAACTTTTCACCACGTAGAATTTTAAAATATTAAGTTTGAAAATTTCATTTTTATAATGGAGCTCAATGGGAAAAACTACATAATTTGAATTATTTTCAAACGTAGCGGCGCGATTTTGATAAAATTGACAGATATAATAAATATTGGTAAGACAAAATGTTTGATGAAAAATGAAGAAAATTCACCGTCCTGGTTACGCAAACTATAGAAAAATCTGAAATAATCATAAAAACCTGTAAAAATAGATTGAAGGGGGTGATATTCATTTTTAATGTGCCTTTCACTACTACAGGGTATGGTACTGATTTGATTTTTCAATGAAAATCATTTCTATAGTGTATAGTCAGTTTAAATAATACAATTGCTTTATTTCTTTACTGAACAGTGCAGTCATTTATTCATTTACCAACAGTAATGCAAACTACATATTATACAGTTAGTATAATATTAAAATTCTATTAAAATTAAAGCATTGAGATGATACTTAAATAATTACATATTATATTGATAGGCATATATTATATTATAGGATTTAAGCCAATGACTCAATGCATAGTAGATGATTAAATTTAACATATGTCCTGATTCTAGACTATGAACGAGGGTGGTAGTCCGAATTCAAAGCCTAGACTAGAAGACATAAGTGGATTGAAGCATCCACTATTCATTGAATCATGACTTGTGCTTTAATTCAATTTCACACATTGCAAAATATTTTTTACAATTTCACTTAACAGAATGATATTTTTTCAAAGATATGTTGTACTTTTAGAATCATTTGCTTCAAAGAATTGAACTATTTTTCGATGGAGATAAAAAATTTTGTTGTATACTTTGTTTGTAAAAATGCCAGCCATGGCTGTTCGATGGGATTTGCTACACTTTGGTGTTGCTGTTGTCTAGTTGAAGAATGGATGGACGGACAAATGGAGGGGTCTCTATAGCTTATCCCCTAATCTTCGTTGGATTGAACAATTGTGAATATGGTTTGTTGGACAAATAAAACTGATTGAATGTCTAAAAGGAAATAATGAAGTGGTAATTTATTTAAAATCATTAAAATCTCAAACATGCTTGCTTTGGTCTAGTCACTTAATTCCTAAATGTCCCGTAATTAGTATCTATATACCTTATTAGATGCAGTGAAGGAGTTAAATCATTGGGATATGAATAAATCATGCAAAACATATTTTGTACATATTTCTCATCATTTAGGGTTACCCAGTAGTTTACAAGCTGACCTTTGCAAAATATATTTCACTTACTATCCTCATTCGCTATCACGCTATCTAGTTTCTTTCCAAATTGGCCTGGATTGCCTGGTTTATTGGTTTTAGCGAACCGACCATTTCGTCGAACCATCATTTTGCTAAGGTTGTTTGTGATGAATATACAATATTCAGTTATATAACTGTACAGCAACTTTATGCAAGGGAAGGTAATTGTGTGAGAGCACATAAAGTACACGAAGTATTGACCCACTTGTCTCAGTGAATCTTATAAACAGTGCATAAAGTTTTTTCTATGCAATGATTGGCTCACAGTTACTTATAGTGTAAGTTATTTTATTTCTATACAGTGTGGAATAGAGTGTATAAACGTTTACAGTTTCAAGCAGGTTTTAGTGTTTTCTGACCAATGATATATTCAGACTTATTCATTTCACGATTATGTAATACTGACCTACATATCTGTATAGCATATCTTTAAGCCTACGCAACTATGGAACGTCCCTGAATGTTTCAACTCAACCAGTCAAAATGAGGGTTTCAGCGAGGGTGTATTGACTTCAATGGGGGATATAATAGACTTCAAGGCTGCATATCATCAAGTAGAAGTTTCACTGCTGTTCAAGAGGCTCTCGGGATCCAATTCACGCGAGAGAGGTACATGTAGCAATATAAAGTTATGGAAAATTATGCAAAAAGGTTGAAGAACATTAGTCTACATGGAACAAGTTTGAATTTGAACATTAATAATGTTTTGAACATGAAAAAGTTGGGTATTGGTTTTTTTGGCCCACCCTGTAGATATGATTTATCTTCTTATCCCTATTACAAGAATCCATCTTTGCTGTGTATTGACACTTCCGAGTAGTTTATTTCGATCAATATCGTTCAACAATTAACGAAATGCAATTATTAATTTTGAGTGAATCACCGGAGATACTGAGTTACCACACCTTCTATATTACAATATAAACGGTAACCATACCTCGTATTTTCTTAGTTTTTCCTAGTGTTAGTTATCTTGATAGTTATCTTAGTTTCCTAGTTATCTTGAACCTTGTATTCCAGGGTGTTTTTGCTCTTGGTTTTGGCCGGCATTGGGTTGATGCTGTATTTTCTAGTTGGAAAATAAAGGCCAAAGAATCTGATATCTGCAGTTGGCGCATGCGCAATAGTTTTCGTGTGTTTTTCGTGTGTTTAGCACGTGTATTTTAAGTAAGCATCTATTGTATATCTTGAAATACTAGTATACATTAAGATAATTATGAATGAAGAGAACATGGAACAATTGATAAATCATTAATAAATGACATATCCGTATTTAAACGTCGTCATACAGGCCAACAACGCATGGCCACACAATATGATAATATCAACACGTTTAAACGAGTCTGTTAAACAACAACAATCGAGTCTGTTAATGCAACGGCGAATATACTCGTTAGTAGTGTTAATCCTCTCCCCTTGACAAACGATCGTCTGGGTTCTATAGAATGACCCTATTTATCCAATAATTACAGTATATCATTGAAAATGTTAGAACATCAGCTTTAAGGGTCTTACCCTCATTTTACTTTCATTCAATAGGTCACGTACATAGGTCGGAATTTAGCAACACGTACAGATGATGTTTTGTTTTTCTATAGAGATTTTAATAAATAAGCTGATGTCAATATTACCCCCTCCTCTCCTTCGCTCAAATTTGAATCCAAATATAAATGAATAAAAAAATGGCAACAGAAATATTTTTTGACCAGATCGCTTAATACAAAAATATATAACAAAATTTCTCTTTTAAGTGGAGAGGACATTCTCTTTTATCTCTTTTAGGTAGAAGGGGCTGTGATAATTCTAGATTGGCTTGCAAATCTGACACATTCTGAAGAACATGCTGTAATGTCTGGAGGATTTGCCACAGTGTGTGGGGGTACCATAGCCGTCTTTATAGCGATGGAGGTAAGTCACTGGGGTATCTGAGGTTCACCTTAGCTCTGGTTACCCTTATCACAACCCAACAAAATGATGAAGTTAAAATATAACTGCAGAATATGAACATCAAAACATTGAAAGATACACATAACAAAATTGGAAGCTTTACATTTTCTCAATTAATGTGCTTGAGAAAATTAACCAGCAGCTTTGTCAGTCAGGTCAAAAATCTTGACAACATTCACTGTTTCAATTTTAGTTCTTCGAGAAATTTCATTGAAGCTTTTGCGAACGGTGCCGCCGCTATCCAGTGAAGACGCTAAAACATGAAAAATTCAGAATGAGGTAATTTGAAATAAAATGTGAATGATAAGATTATATTTTTACGAAATGCCTGATAAAAAGAATCAAATAATTGTATGTAATGAACCCTCGAAAAGAATGGAATATACTTTTCGATTCTCTTACCTGCCAATTTTTATGTGAAGAAGGCATCAAAGGACCATTAGATATTCTGTTATGATACTACAGAATATGATGTGTGAGTTATATGGATTCTTCAATTTACGAGAGAAGTCTCTATTTATGCACCTTTACAAAACCACTGACGCAAAACTTTATGAATGAATTTGACCTGTTAACCACATGGATAACAGTTCAATGACTTTTCAAATGAATTACAGTCACATAAACATTTAAGGTCTATGAATGACCTGAACAATAACAAATGAGGACAATCTTAGCACTATTCTATGAATAAAACCATTTGAAAATACATTAACAAAACTGAATTTACATAGAGTTAAATTACTAAAATGGATTTGAAGCATGCAGAACTTGTTAATTACAGTGGCGTAGCCAGCAATTTGTGACCAGGGGTTCGATTTTTTTATGTTATCCACAAACCTCCCCCTTCATTGGTGTACCTAACATAAAAGCATTTTTTGTATTTGTCATACATACAATTCATCCTTTCATTCACATGTTCATTCACAGATATGTCAAGTTCTGAAACATGCAATTCCCACGCTTTTAGCTGATTTTTGAAAAGAGTCCAAATCAAAAGATTTTTATTTGCTATTTCATTTTGTTATAGAGGAGGAGTTCATAATGAATTTCAAAAAGACCAAATTGAAAAAACAATATATCCACAGTCTGACAGTGCTCTGTATTCTCTAACATTCTTTCCTTTTAAATTTTAATGCCTTGCAACAAAGAACAACTAATGCTGAAAAACCTATTTGTTCTTTCTTTGAATTGAGAATAAAAAATAAAACATTCCATTTTCTATCACCGTTCCGCTGTTTTTTTATCACAAATGACGAGAATCGTGAACATTTTGAGAAATGAAAAAAACAGTTTAGATGAACTTGTAAATCATTATAAACTATAATTCGTTTTTGAGGAATGCTGTCAAATTCTTTATAGACACACGATTTGAAACTTGTGCAAGGCTAATACACTCGTCTTTCTGGCAAATACACTCCCCTTCCGAAGTTTGGCAACCTTAGCCCCCCCCCCCCTTTATGTTTGAATTTTTATTTACATAACCTGCGAGGAAAATACTAGTACCTATAATATTGATGGAAATGTAACTTGACTTCATTTCCAATGCCACAAATTTTCTCAATTTTTTTTCTTCTATTTGATGAATTTTTGAAAATCGTCATTCCCATGTAAACCAAGGGAAACCAATGGGTTTTATATTTAATAAGTAGATTAGATTCAGCCGCAGACCATCTGTAATTGTGTCTTTGAAGTTTGAAAATCTCGATAATCCGGTGGCGATTATCAGTGGATCAGTTTTTTTAGAAAATAAAAAGTGATTATTATGAAGCAATGCATATTGGTACACTACGTGACTTTTTAAATATTTTTTATTATGAACTTTTCCCTTAACTGTGGCAATAAAATACTCATTCGAAATAATAAACCTAGACTTATTTGATATAATCCTTCTTATGCCTTTGCTTTCCTCCAGAAAGATGACTGCATCTGGCTTTTTAATGGACGGAACTTTCCACTGCACGTAATGTGGGTACCTTTTTAGCTTACACTTGTATTTAGAACCAGAGACACATTATGATAAACCATGACATCTCATTTCTTCTCAGCCCTGAGATGTTTCAGGTGAAACAGAAAGAAGCTATGAGTATCAGAATGTCAGAGACATACTCACCTAATTGCCGCCTTTAATCCATTTATTTGCTAAACATATATAATTAATGACATTAACACGATCCACTAAAGTTTGATATTCGCGAAAATAGAGCATATACTAAATGCACTGAAACAGCAACAATTTAAACTTGAAATAATTTCCGAGATAAACGTGCATCTGAAAAAACTGATTTTTTCGCTTGGATTTATTTTTCCTTAAAAAGTGATGGATAATAAATACTCATTCGATCAAATGCTTGTGTTTATAAATGATACATGCGTGTATCCTTTGAATAGTGACTAATTTCAAAATGTTTCTATTATTTAATATTTGCTTTTGAGGACTTATCAGCTCCGGGGACTTAGCAAGATTTTTTGTTTGAAGTAAAACAAAACGGAGGTGCGCAGATGTGAAAGAAAATGTGTTTTCATCAGTATTAAGACAGTTGGTTTATTTCACCGTAGATGGAGCAGCTTTTAAGTTAGAAAATAAGTTGTGCGAAATTATTGATATTTCTTCTTTGCATAATGTCATGATGCTCCGGGGTCTTCCCAAAATTAGACAATACCACCCCGTGCCTAAGGTTGCCAAACTTTTGGAGAGAAGTGTAACTTTTACTATTTTGATCTACTGGTCATATAAATTGAATGTTTCTGTTATTGCAATGAATTTTCCACAAATATTTTTGGTGGAAATCCCGACCAGGGGTTCGTCCGAACCCATCTAACCCCCGGTCCCTACGGCTATGAATTAACTTTCAGACGCTGAATGGACAATATCGACATTAGAAGAGAGGCATCGTGAGATTAAAAAGGATGCGTCCAAATCAAAACCCTGTACCAAAAAACCAATCTGCTAGGCCTGTTAAATGCTGTGATGGCAGTTAAGATTGGCTGGACTACAAAACTCACTTTATGGTTGTTAGCAAGGCAAATGCTTGGAGCTAAGATGAAATGGCCTTGGAACTGAGTTGTGCGGTTGGGCAATGGCTTATCTGTACTCACTGATATGCCTGGTAACGAACGTTGGGATTTTGAATCGATTGTACATCATTTGGAACGGCGTTTTGACCCAGCAAGCCAAGGCGACACCTTCCTTAATTTACTAGAGGCCAGAAGGAAAATCCTAAGGAAACATTATTACAATTGGGGCAGGATATCAAAAGGCTAGCAAACAGGGCCTATTCAAATCGGCCATATGAACTACGTATGGATCTTGCTTTAAATCATTTTTATAATGCCCTTGAGGACACAGATATGAGGAAATAAATCAAGAATCGGAAGCCCCGTGATATAGATGAAGCAGTAGGCATTAGATTGGAATACGAGACAGATTATAGAACCGATTGAAAGGCCTGGAAAGCATGTAGCCGGATCCTGTTTTTAATACAAAGATTGGCCAAATAGTACAAGAATTCAAAGAACTTGAAAACACAT